CATCTCAGGAATATTCCAGTATTGTACCCAAAAGTATTTTCAGATGTCCTCATGAAAAATCAAATACAAAGAACAGAGCAACTGGCACCAATCTTCACAAGGGAGCATTTTAAAGGGAGAGCTTATTCAGCTCTTTTACAGACATTCCCACTATGTACCACCCCTGTATACCAAAGCTAAAGGAACTAGGGGGTGAGGAGTCAGCTCAGTGGTACTACACCCTGGGTTCAATCTTCAGTACCACACAAACACACACATACACACACACAAAAAAAAATTTAAACTCTAATTACATATTCTATATTTTATTTACCTTTTTAAAAACTGTTGCAATCCTTAACAGCTGATTAAGTCATTGATATGTTTATCATAAATGACATAAACATTCTTACTGTTACAGAAGTTATTTCTAATTTTTCTGTACTATTGATAAGCCTTCAATAAACCTCATTATGCATAGAAAACTTCCTCTTCAAAATTATTTCTTTAGAATAATATCAGCAACAATGACATCTTAGTAAAAGAATATACAATTTTTACTGTTTTTCAATGTCAGAGCATAATTCACAGTTCAAAAGGCCATTAAAATTCTGTAAGTCACTAGTCATAATCTTTGATAGTTCTACTACAAATTTATCCTAACAAAGGTTACTCTCATACATTATAGTTGGGAGCATATACTGGCATCATTATTTTAAAAGGCAATTTGTGATGTTTTAGAAGTTATAATATAAAACACCCTCAACTTTCATAATCCCACTTCAAGGAATTGGTTCTTTGAACAAGTGGCATATCTACCCAAAGAAAGGTGGACAAGGATGTTCGGGGCTAGGGCTATAACTCAGTAGTAAAGTGCTTGCCTAGCATTCAAGAAGCCCTGGGTTCAATCCCCAGCACCACAAAAACAGAAATCATTGTTTGTGGTATCCGAGAAACAGAAACCAACACAATTATTCATTAAGGGGAAAATGTTTAAATTATGATAAACATAATTATGATGCAGTTTTATTATTTTCACTTTAATGAGTTGTATTATTTGAATTTTCTATAGTGGGCATATATTCAGATAATACCTTTATAATTAAAATAACTTTTAAAATAAAAAAATAAAGTACTCAAGTTAAATTCAATTTATAAATGGGGGGAAAACAATTATTTCACCTCCTCCACCTCTTATTTTATTATCAATCTAAATAACACTGAAAGAAGCTAGTAATACATTCTATGATGTCTAATTTTAGGCTCAATTTTATTGGATTAAAGAAAACCTAGAACCTGGTAAAGCATTATGTGGGGGAGGGGGAGAGTGTGAGAGTGTTTCCAGAGGTAATTTGCATCTGAGTCTGAGTAAACTGGGGGGGGGGGGGCGGGGAGATCAACCCTCCATGTAAGTGGAAACCATCCAAACAACCAGGGCCCCAAAAAGAACAGAAACAGAAAAGGCAAATGTGTTGATCTATCTCCTGACCTCGGATATACTCTCCCTCTCCTGCCCATGGCCATAGAACTCCAAGCACTCTAGCCTTTAGATTCCATACCTGGGCTAGAATTTAACTCAGTAGTAGAGCACCTGCTTAGCATGCTCATGGCCCTGGGTTCCATCTCCAGCACTAAAAGAAAAAAATCCACTGACATAGACTCCAGGACTTACATCAGCAGCCCTCTGTGTGAGTGTTTCTCACTCCTGAAACCTCAGACTGGGCATCACACCATCAACTTTCCTGGTTCTGAGGCTTTCCAATTTGGATTGAGTCACACAATCAGCATCCCAGAGTCTCCAACTTACAGATGATCTATCATGAGATTTCTCAGCCTCCATAATTACATAAACTAATTCCCCTAATAATGCCCCCTCATTCCTATTTCTCTGGAGAACCCTGAATAATGCAAATTCCATTACTATCTTAATTAATGGCACTCACTTGAAGTGAGTGGACCCAAAATAAAAACCTGAAAGAAAATTAGTATAGAGAGGAAACAGTTGAAAATGTGCAAAGGTTAAGAAGAAAGAGACTAAAGAGCAATGTATTTTCAAGCAATCTACATTCCTGATCTGCAAATGATAATAAATAAAATCTATGTATGTATGCTACCTTCACTACTTTTACTTATTGGTTCTAACTTTCATAATGGCTCTGCTACATAAAAAAATTCTGGGAGCTAGGGATGTAGCTCAGTGGTAAAGTGTTTGCCTAGCATACACAAGGCCCTGGGTTCAATGCTCAGCATTGCAAAAACAAAAACATTGCTAGATATATATATTTCAGTCTGGTTTCAAAGCACACTTAGGGTATAGTATTCTGCAAACCATCTGGATCAGAATCACATGTGTCACCTATTGAACACGATTCACCTCCATACCTAAGAGTAAAGAATAGAGTTTGACAGCTTCCACAAGCACTCCAGATGACTCATAAATCCCAAAATTCAAGATCTATTCCCTTCAGAACACAGAATATCTTAATAGTGATTGAAATAGTCATTCCATATGTTAAAAGAAAAAAATTCTAATTTGGCTTTCTGAAAAATGATAAAATCATACAGCAGTCCCCCTTTATCTGCTGCTTTAGTTACATATGGTGAATCATGGTTTAAAGATATTAAATGATAAATTACTGAAACAGATAGTTTCTAAGTATTAACTTGTACACTGTTTTAAGTAGTGTGATGAACTCCTGTGCTATCCCTCCCTATCCCATCCAAGACGCACATCATCCCTTTCCCCAGCACATCCATTCTGTACACACTACCACCCTACTACTCATTACCCATCTCAGTTATCAGATCAAACACCACAGTACTGTGGTGCTTGTATTCAAGTGACCCTTATTTTCTGTAATGATGGCTCAGAAGCATAAGAGTAGTGATTCTGGCAACTTCCTGCAAGTGAGAAGGTAAAAGTTTATCATAGGTATGTATATATAGGACAAAACATAGCATATGTAGGGAACTATCTGTAGTTTCAGGCAACCACTGGGGGTCTTGGATTGCATCTTCCACGGAAAAGGAGAGACCACTGTAATTTATTTTCTATAGATTATACATTCTAATCTAAATAAAATTTTAGATTTCGATTTTTATATAGCACTCAAGCAGGGACTGCTTCCATTTTGAAAACCACTCAGTATCTAGCACCTGGAAGCTGGTACATGGTAGACACTCAATAAATATTTGCTGAATTACTATGACTTAGACCAAGGGGCTCTGCTTAATAGAATAAATTGGGATGAACTGAAGTTGGCCAGGGGAAAGGAAGAACATATAACAGAGCATGAGATAGATGAATTCTTTTTTTAATATTTATTTTTTAGTTTTAGGTAGACACAATATCTTTATTTTTTATTTTTTTATGTGGTGTTGAGGATTGAACGCAGTGCCCCGCACATGCCAGGCAAGCACGTTACTACTTGAGCCACATCCCCAGCCCAAGATAGATGAATTCTTAAATGCATAAACAAGACTCTGTAATAAGAATGTAAACTTATTTAAGACAATTAACCTTTCTAAGTCATATCCATTCTCGATAGAGCAAGGGAGTTAACTCTGTGAAACTGCCAAGAAATCATTTAAATATAGTCTGAAATATGGATTCTGGAGTAAACATTCCTTTGACAAATGTCCTTGAATGTTCTCATTTCAAAGTTAATATTGTACAGACAAAGAAAAATTTTGAAATGGGGATATTACCTTCACCACTGATTTGTCATTCTGTGATTAATTGTGAAACCACTTGGAAGAGGACAATCCATTTGAAAGCAAAATGAGAAAGATAACGAGTAAAGAGGTAAACTTTTAGTCTACAAGTTTTTAAAGCTGTTATTCCAGATTTCAAAATATATAATTTACACACATTATTTTTACCTAACATATTCTGGAATAGTATATAATAAAGATTTGAAGCATAATTATAAGTAACATGCAAGATATCTTTTAAGAACATCTTTAACAAATAGTTTGTAAAAAACCTATAATTGCAGGATAGTGAATCACCCAAACTCATGATTTAAAAGATCAAAAAACTTTCCAAGGACAGACATTAAATACAAAATGTGCTAAATTTAGAGAGAAAAAAAAGTTCTACTTACTAATAAGTATGACCTTCATTTACAGAGCTGCAAATGACTCTTAAGTGCAGCAAGGGTCATGGTGAGCAGAGGGATATTAATCTGCATTGCCATCCCCAAGACTCTGACATATCAGTGCAGGACATCAGATGTCTGAATCTGCATAAGAAACCCTTTAGGCTGAAATGGGAAAAATAAGGGCAGGCTCCCTTAGGATTCTAGGAGAAATACCCATGAATCCAGAAGAAAGTCAAAAACTGTTCCAACCTCTGAAAAAAGAGGGCACAGCATGGAAAGGCAGAAAATTATCCAGCTAGAGGAAGTCAAAAGACATGTGCCTTAGCATGTCACTGCTGCCGTCCTTAGGGAGAAATACTTATAGATACCTCAAGGAGGGAGAGTCCCTTGGTTATTGAATTGCCCAGCCTCTGATACTCTTGCTTCAGACCCTTAATGGAGGCATCTTCTCCAGAGCAAGGTGGTTTTTTGTAAACCTTGAGAGACCTACACAAGGAGGATAAAAAAGGATTCCCTGTCTTGAAGAACCCAGTTGCAATGAACAGCACAGTATATGTAGGCCAGCAAGGAAGCCCTGAGAGCAGTAGAATGCAAAAAAAACACAAGCAAGAAACAGCACAGCTCGAAACTCCTCCAGGGATGAACCACTTGTGGCAACAAAAGCAGCAGCAGAAAATGATGGTCAGAGTATGGACTGAACAGCCATCAAGGCAAATGAGGGCACAGCTGTAACAGCCTCCATGGAGGACCACGAGCATCCTCAGCATCCTTGGAAACAGAACTAAAACAACCTGGAATCCCACGCACTAGTGGTAGGGCGTCTAAAAAAAACCACTACAAATGTCACCCATGCCCGAGCCATGACAAGGGCTCATGTGGCCTGGTAAAACAAGACTCATAATAAACATGTGTACTCACATTCTTACGAAGCCATGGTGCTTTTGACAATTTCATAAAAGTTAGATGAGGTTTAAAGCTTCTACTTTCTCCTGCCAGGATGCCTTTTTCTTGAAATGTCTTTTTTGCAGTCTCTGAAGAAAATAAGAAGAAACACAAAAAATGATACTGTAATTCATAGTTCTCTTTATATAAAATCCAATTCAAAATATAACTGTTTTATAATGAAGATTATTTTAAAAAGAAAGAAAAATAATGTGTGTGATAACAAATGTTATATGACAGTTACGTCCAATGATTAACATTAAATCCAATTATTTCAAATTTGGGATAAAGTACACAAAAATGCTAATTTGAAAAGGGACTATTTAATAAATAAAATAACTGTTTGCCTCACATCATGATGATTTTCACCGAACATCTCAGTAGTTTTCACATATACACAAAGGGACTAGCTGTTCTGTAACCTTTCATATCTAAAACTGCTCCTTCTGACCAAGACAGAGTAACAGGAACTCTCCTTGATAAATGAGAAACAAACAGGATGAGCCCTTCAACCTCCCCAGCTTACATCCTTGAGTGTACAGGCTCTTTTGTGAGTAGGAGAAAACCAAAAGGAGCCCAGCCTGTCCCTGAGCAGAGAAAAGAGCTAAGAGAGGAGACCAAGGCAGCTAGAGCTCAGAGGACAAAGTATTTGAGACATGTGACATGCATGGAGAGAAAACTCTAGAGGTCTATAAAAGGGTCCCGTAGAATATTCCATACTAGTAGTGGTCTGTGCATTTGTGTAAGGTTGAGGAAAAATACAATCAAAAAAATTAGAGGGAACAGTGCCCAGCACTTACACAGGGTCAGAAATACTGTCTGTTCCATTAGTCAAGATAGTTAAAGCTCAAGATTCATACGACACTGGGAAAACGGAAGGATCTTGCCACAGGAGTGGGAAAAAATAGCTCTTTATTGGTAATTGCTCTAGTACTACCTAACAAATCTAAAAAGCAAGACCCCAAAAAAACTATCTCCAAGTAATTTAATTATATCCCAGAGCAAAGCCAAAAAGTATTTATAGGAATATAAAACTGTCGAGCACCCAACTGACATTAATGGGTAAATATCCCAAGGGTAACATCTAATCAAAAATTATCAGTCATGCAAATAAACATAACAATATGATCCATAATGAGGAGATAAAACAACTATTCAAAGGAGACCCAGAGTAGATGTTAAAATTAGCAGAGAGGACATCAAAATCATTATTGTAATTGTACTCCCAACATTCAAAAAGTCAAGCAGAATGTATTTTTTATATTCAAACTATAAAAAGCTTGCAAACAAATCAAGCTTACAGAAATGAAGGTTGCAATGTCTGAGAAAAATGAATGGCTGGTATAAAAACAGTTTAGATACTGCTGAACCAAAAATTAGTAAACTGGAAGACACAGCAACAGAAACTACCCAAAATAAAATAAAGATAGAAAAGGGAAGTAAGAAAGAAAAAAGAAAAGAACATCAAAGAGCTGTGAGACAATTTCATAGTTGTCTAATATATAAGTGAAATTCTCAAAAAGGAAGTAAGCGAGAGGGAATCAGAGAAAAATATTAAAGGAATAATGGCTGTGGGGAAGTGAAGGTGCCACAACCCAAGGGAAAGGAATCTGGAAAGTACTTGAGAAAAGTTCACAAGCATTTTGAACTAGCAATTCCAATTCTAGAAAAATACAAAAAAAAAAAAAGTACTAGTACATAAAATTTTATGTAGAGAATAAAAGCATTATCCCAAATTAGCAAAAATTAGAAATAACTTTCATCAATAAAGAAAGGTTAGATTCTAGAAAGATGACATGGTTAAAAGAAGGCTGCATCCCAAACTGCACCATGGTATAAAACCAAAGCAGTGAGTGTACAGCTTCTCAGCAAGGTGGGTGAAAGAGGGACTTTACTAAATTATAATATTGGATACTCAAAGCCGCTTAGGGACTCAGAAATTGGTACAATAAACAAAGAAGAAAGAATACACCGGAGCCTATCACACAACCACCAGTGCAGATTCACCACAGACAAAGGGAGGGGGATCACATTCTTGGTATGGAGAAACCCGAGATCAAAAATGCTGCCTAGGGGCTGCGCTTATAGCTCAGTGGTGTGCAATTGCCTTGCATGTGGGAGGCACTGGGTTCAATCCTCAGCACCACAGAAAAACAAATAAATAAAAGGTACTGTGCCCATTTACAACTAAAAAGTTTGCATATGAGAAAAATTATTATGAAAAGAAATACTGCCTAATCTTAACTGATCCAGAGGCTGCACAGTGCACTAGGAAGAGGAGGAGGAGGAGTAATAATAATAATAATAATAATAATAATAATAATAATAATAATAATATAGCCAGAGGGTTTTTTGAGTGATTTGACAATTCATTTTCCTTGGCTCTTGAAGAGTAGGATTGGAAGGAGTTTTCCAAAGCACTGAACTGGTGAGAAAATGTTTCCTCCATCTCCACAATGAACATTTCCTATACTTTCGTCCCCTGCTGGAAAGCGTGCTCATAACAGCCTTGCCCATTTACCTCACTGCATCCTCTTCCAGAAGATCAGGGGGAAAATAATACACATAGCCATAATACCCCTACCCTGGCAGGCACCTAACAAGGGACTTAGGCTGAGTCTGAAGGAAAGTGAGAGAAACAGGAGTAGAAAAGACTGTACCTAGGGGCATTTGATGGGAAAGGCAAAGGGGAGCCTGATGCACTTCTCCTTTGTGTTTGGAGGTTCATGTAACCAGCTAAAATGGGATGAGGGTCTATGAGGGTGAGGTTGAACACACTCAGGGCTAAGCTCAGGAAGCCTGTGCACCTAGGAAACAGTGAGAGGAAGAAAACACACACACACACACACACACACACACACACACACCATGATTGGATTTCTTGTGAGGCTCTTCAGAACTTCAATCTTTAGATTCACTAAAGAATTCAGTTACTGCCTAGTCCTAGGGGCAGGTCAATCTAGTCTCTCCAAAGATGGTTCCACCAAACAAAGCTCTTGAGGCCTGATTAGACCTCAGCACCACCTGCTGGAACTCTCCCAAAGAACAATGCAGAAGCTGTACCCTAGAAGTGCACCAAATTGGTCCAAATGGACAAAATGCCAATTGACAGTACATCCCACCCCATATTGGTGAGAAGAAAAGCTGAGTCTTATAGCAAACAGCTTTGATCTTAGGCTGCTTCAACTGGCAGCTCAGAGAGCAGCACAAAAACAGGAAGAGGTTAACAACCCCCACCCCTTGCTCTATCAGTACAGAACTCAAGAAGAATTAGAAAGAAATACTGTTATACATAGACAGTGACTACTCAATCTGGTCACTATTTTGACCACCTCAGTGGAGAGGTTCCTTCATTCTACGCTAAGATTTTAGATTCAAAAAATTTATTTTATGGGAGGCGGTGAGAAAGCATGTGAATTCTTGCTGTGCTGACTGGTTCAGGAACATATTCACATAACACTTCTTTCTTTTTTTCTCTCATTTTCAGCATTTTTTAATATAATTATTTTTCCCTACCATTGTCTTGTAAGGGTTTGGGTTTGTAGGATTGTATACTTTGGGTTGGTTTTATACTATTTTCATTTGTTTGTTTTTCTCTCCCTCTTATCTTCTCCTACTAATGGCCACATGCTATTGTTCCCTCTCCCTGTTTCTCAATACCTTGCTTCTTCTATTTTTTTCCTTCCTTCCATATAAACATGACGTGCTACAACTCTCTGTTCACTTTTTGAAATTGTAAAGTCTATTCTAACTTCCTAACACATTTCCTTTTCTCCTAAATAAGGATATTTTTACCATCTTTCAGAATTAATTGGTCTATGTAATTCCTGTCCCCACCATTAATGCTAATTCAATCATTACCGTTATGGATGCTATAGTTGTCACCTGCTGTTTGCTTTGAAGTCAGGTCTAGTTCATGGTTATTGTTCTTAGAGTTCACAAATACCGACCCCAAAATTCCTCTTTATTTGTTGTTTACAAAAATTATTACTATTGTTTATTACACCCCATTCTGTGAGGCTCTGGGAACTATAGGGACACTAAAAGTTCATAGGTTAAAGACTCTACTATTGAACTAAACATTCCCTGACATTACTCCAACTCAAAGAAGTAAAGAGACAAAAGCCCCAAACCAAAAATAGGATCCAAGAGAAGGAACTCAGGTCCCACCCCTTAACATCTACACATACATCAACAACAGAGAAGAGTCCCAAAACAAATAAGATAATTACACATGAAAGAGGAAGGGCAGTCTATACCCAAAGGACTTAAAATCAGCATACTATAGTAATGCAGCTACATCAATGTTTACAGGAGTTCAATTCATAATAGCTAAACTATGGAAGCAACCTAGATGCCCTTCAATATATGAATGGATAAAGAAACTATGGTATATATACACAATGGAATATTACTCAGCACTAAAAGAGAATAAAATTATGGCATTTGCAGGTATATGAATGGAGTTGGAGAATATCATGCTAAGTGAATTAAGCCAATCCAAAAAAAAACAAAGGCCAAATATTCTCTCTGATAAGTGGATGCTGATCCATAATGGGGGGGAGGATGGGAAAAAAATGGAGTAACTTTGATGGGGCAAAGGGGAGGTTGGGATGGGGAGGTGACATGGGACCTGGAATGAGATGGACATAATTACCCTAGGTAGATGTATGACTTCACATATGGTGTCACTACATCATGTACAACCAGAGAAGTGTAAAGGTGTGCTGCAATTGTGAAAAATGAAATGCATTCTGCTGTCATATATACCTAATTAAAATAAACAAACAAACAAAGCAACCGATAAGGACCCAAAGATACCAGTGACTTAACATATTCACCACCAGGAATAGAAAAACAGTTTTCTCCACCTGTAGAGGAAAACGACAATCCAAACTAAGAGAAAGCATAATGTTCAAATGAACATCCTAAAAACCTTTCATTTTTACTTTTATAAGATAAATGTACTTGGAATCTTTTATCATGCTAACCAAGGACACTCTTCTCATTTTGAAACAAGATTCACAAAACCATTATAATTTCAGCAGGCTAAATTTTTGGCAATCTCTCAATCTAATAACCTTCTTAA